GGCGGCGTAGCAAGGAATAAGCCTTTCCCACGGTCCTGTATCTCCATTCCTGGGCATGTTTGGGCGGGGGGACCACGACACATCGACAGCTGGGGGGCTGATAGTCTCATACACCCTCAATGTGTTTGAGCGTACCATGTGTCTTTAAACTTGTCATAAGGGCAGCCTCCTCCCCGTCTAGGCTTGGTTGAGCAGCAATTGGTGAGCTAGTTCTTGTTCCAAACTTGGTGAGCCCCAGCTTTGAGCGGTAAGGCTCACTTCGGCATTGCCGGAGTAAAATCCCGGAGTGACAGAACTCGGATCGAGTTCCATTCGAACTGAGCAGGTTCATTTTCTTTCTGTTGTTTGGCATGAGACTAGAGAAAAAAAACTTTATACTTCTTACATTGTTGCACACAGAGGTGCTGAAACGGCTTAAGCACCACTGTCAAATGCGTGGCCCATTTGAAAAACAGATGAACGAAAACTATTTATCTGGTTCATACGAATCGCGGTTCGTATTCTCATCGAGCATTCTGAAGGCGCAGAACGATCGGCGGAATTCCTCAGAAATTGTAAGTGGCAACTTTTTCCATTGCTTTTTCAGACTAAAATCACGTGAATATTCTCACAATATGGGCAAAGATTATGTAGTATGCTCGTAACAGTAGCGAGAAGGAGTTAGCTTACAGTGAGGCCATGCCTCTTGTTTCTTGTTGTTTTCTTGTTTCCTTGCGATCTTTGTGTTGTACGAGGGTGTTAAACAACTGAAAAAGATAATCTCTCTTGGCAGGATTATATCAAAGGGTTTCCTAGTAGAAACCTGAAGATAGGACCAACTTGGGAATGTTTTCTCTGCTCACCTTCGCCAAAGCAGCTGATCTTTCATAAAGACCCTTCGCTCGATAGAAAACGAATTTCTCTCTCAAGTGCTTGGCACCGACTTGCGACCAAATGCTAGCACACTCACTAGGCGTAGAGCACTAAAAACTGGATTTGAGCGATTCTTTCGTTACATGACAGCCAAATCATGGAAGACAAGACATGAGTCAGCGACTATTGAGGCGAGGCAAGAGCAGGTTGCTCTTAAATTGCTTTTCGTACCTCGTGAACCTGGTCATTTTTCTTCATCTGTTCATAGTTCATACCGATAAGTGCCTTGGCAAACTCATCCACAAATTGGTCTGGAACATGAGTACTGCAGCGCATCTATGTGACTTGGCAACACGATAACCAACCCGAATTCATTGGTTCTCCGATATCTGTGCCTTGCCTGCCGCTGCATGGCTGTTCGTCTCCTTCCATTGTAGGGCAGCTCGCCGTGAGCAATGAAGACCGAGGCGCATAGCATCACCAGACCGAACATTCTTCGGGAGCAAAGACGAAATGATGCATACCATGGATGAGCTCTTTTATATGGCTCGTAATCACTATCGTTATCAGAAAAATCGTTCATTCATTGGGGATGCGATAAAGCTGATCATGTATGATCATGCGAAATTATGTGCTGCTTAGCGCATTGATAACGAAATTCCTGTTTCATTCCGATCCCGTTCCCAAGCATCCTGGGAGCACAGGTACTATTTAGGGTTTACTGCCCATTCTTCCGCAATAAGGCCAGTTTTTCACCGACTTTTTTCTCCCATAGCAGATTTGGCTTAAATGTGTTCCCGGAGATAATGCAACTTTCTCTAACAGGAACGGGGCCGTACTTGGGCTGAAAAAAATTCTTCCGCCCCCGCTCGGCAGCAATGCTTTTTAGGAATAAAAGTAAGAAAATTTTCGAGAATTCCGGAAAAGGTGGTGGGAAGTTGGGGAAAATGTAAGAGATGATCGAGGAGAAAGGTTGTATTTTCCTCGCGGTAGCTCTGTTCGAGAGCTCCATGAGGGAAACAGGCGGGAAGTCGTACGGACTCGGCCAAAATTCCCAATCAATGATGTGTCCTGGACGCCGCCAATGTCTCATGTAACTACTATTCGCGGTGGAAATAGTAGATGGTTGTGAAGACCCCCTCCCCCACCCCCTCCTCTTCCCCCCACCCTCACCACCAGACGGTGGAAATTTTTGGGGAAAAGGGCAAATTTTCGGGAAATTTCGGAGGAAACTGGTACGAAGCTGAGATCATGAAGGAAAGTGGGTGTTAGGTAGGTATTGGGGGGGGACACCGAGATTCTCTTTCAGGGTTCTGTGGAAGGGTCGTACTGACACCACCATTCCACTCATCACGATGCTGTACCCTGGCTGTCGAGCGCGGGATGTATAGCACATGTGGAACGGGAAATCGTGAGATAGAGGAACTTATGCCCCCTCCCCTCTCCTACCCCCTACTCTGCTCCCATCCTCCTATCCTGATAACACTTCCGCTTTTTCCGAGTTCCTACCAGTTTTTCTAAAATTTCCCAAAAAATTTCCTGGTTTTTCCCAAAAAAGTTGCTGACGAGCGAGGAAGGGGGGGGGAAGGAGGAGGGGTAGATAGTTTATATGAGACGGAGAAAACGAAAAAAAAACAGTAAACAGTGATGTAAACAGGCGAATGCAGTCTACCTCTCCCAACAGCGAGCAAATACGAGCCCCTTTTATAGCTAACCGAGACAAAAAAACCAACCATCAAAAAATTTTTTCCTCAAAACCAGTACGCCCCCCCCCCCATTCGTTGGATAGTCCCCAATGATAACGTGCACTGAGCAGGAAAGGCCTATCCTTGCTAAGGATTGCTTTCCGCCCACACAGTCTGGGACCCCCCAACGATGGGGTCATATCCGAGCGCTGGCGGAAAACTGGAATGCAGTGAGCCAGTCAGCACTGAACAGCACAATGATGTGAACACTGCTGAATTGTGGGGAGCGAAATCGCAGTAAACTCGGGACAAGCAACGTGAGCATATCCACACTCCTCCTTCGTTACAGTAGGTTCGCCAAGGTTCGCGGCCTCTGTCACTCGCTGGAGTCCCGACTTTCGCGGCACCGCGGTTAATTACTGATCGTCCTTCAATGATATTATAGTATTTCGTCTTTGCAATTAGGGAAGAAGGCTGAAGGCAAGAAAATCTGTGTGAAAGGTCTCACAGAACATCGTTTCGCTTTTCAAAGATTTATTGGAATGGAACAGGTACATGAAATGGAACAAAAGGAGATAAAGGGTAACTGGGTGGACTTCGTTCATCAGGTTGTTTTCGGCTTCGATACAGCCGAAGCAGTGTAACCGGGAAGAACCACTCTGGGAACTGTAAAAATAATTCATAAATCTGGAAAAGTGAAAAAGTTTGGAAAGTCAGTGACAATTCCGACGGAAATGGAAAGTCGATGGAATACTACCTAAAGATGAACAAAAACATCTTCAGGAATACCACACAAAAAACCGTATTTCACCCATCAGGCGGTTTGACAGCTAAAATCAGTGCGCGCTCGATATCTCCGTTGAGGAGGGGGCATTCGGCCGCCAGAGGGAGGGAGGATCGTTTGCCTCTAAGAAAAGTGTTCGGTTTGTTGACCTACTTGGATATTCCATCTTCTTGAGGTACTCAGCCCCTTCCATTCCAAGTAGGCGAGTGTTTCTCCAACGCCCTTCGATTTCATGTGGTGGCACTCAATGCTGTAGCAGTACAAAGTTTCCAAGAAGGTAGGGCGGCGACATGTGGGGAGGATATTCTTCTCGAGTTGCTCGATGTAACCGCCAGCGCTCACCTTCAGTCCGGGTCCACGAAGAAAATATTGGTCTTTCCATTCCAGGTACGTCCGGTCCATACCATCAACCCGCGCCTTGGCGACTGCGGTGAAGATGATGTCCTAGACCGTAGCGACGTTGTCGGAGCTGCTCGATGTTGGGATCGAGAGTACTGGTCTCCAGGTAGCTATCCATGGGTGACTCCACACTAGAAGTTTCGCAGCTGTTTGGAGGTGACATGAATTCCAAAGGTCTTCTCCAGTCAGGCTGCGACTGGAGATGACCTCATATTTTGGTGTACATGAAGGCGATGGGCGAGAGCCAGCTCCTGCTTATAGAGGAACATCTTGGGTATCTTTCGCCCTGGTACTCGTATCCACGTCTTCTCTCTGGGCAGCGAAAACTTTGCTGATATGTGACTCGGTCGAAGTGTCTTTTTTTTGTGCCCCCCCCCCCCCTGTGCCCGTTGGCATCGTGATAACGATGATGGATAAGGCTACTGTATTTATAGGGGGGGGGGGGGCAAAAAAAGCCACTTCGACCGAGTCACATATCAGCAAAGTTTTCGCTGCCCAGACAGAGGACGTGGATACGAGTACCAGGGCGGAAGATACCCAAGATGCTCCTCGATAAGCAGGAGCTGGCTTTTGCCCATCACCTTCATGTACACTAAAATATGAAGTCATCTCACCCGCAGCCTGACTGGAGAAGACCTTTGGATTTCTGCCACCTCCAAACAGCTGCGAAACTTCTAGCATGGAGTCACCCATGGATAGCTACCTGGAGACCAGTACTCTCGATCTGGAAAACCTCCAACATCGAGCAGCTCCCGACAAC